AAGTGCTAGGATTACAGGCATGAGCCACTGGTCCTGGCCATGTCACCCACTTTCTTATAATAGATTACCATCCCCCACCACCAACTGTCTGTGTGTGTACATATATCTCTCCATCCTATTGGTCTATTTCTCTAATAATTGGTCTATTTCTCTAAGAACCCTAATACAGATATGGGAAAATTTCCTAAAGGACATCACTTTTCAGAGAGATGTTGAAATAATACATTATCTATTTATGAATAATCTACTCTATAATTTTACATTTTATATTCCTCTGTCATTCATTCATTTCAACATACAGTTAGGGTAGAAATGAATTTAGTGAATGCATATTGTGAGTCAGGCCCTTTGCTAGGCACAGAGGTGAAGTCAGGGAGTAAGACATCTTCCCTGCCCTTTGAGCGAGGAAGTTAGACTTGAAAGCTAAATATTGCAGGACAATATCATCCATACAAATGACCTGAAAGTGGCAATCTCATTTTTACAAAATAAAAACAGTGTCCAGTTAGGATTGCTAGATAAAATGTTGCATGGGATGTACTTATACTAAAAAATTATTCATTTAGCTGGGCCTCCTGTGTTTTTAATTACTAGATCTGGCAACCCTTTGCCAGGTTCTCCCCATACATTCAGAATGACATAGAGACTGGAAAAACATGGCTCTCCTTAAGGCTCAGAAGGTTAGATACTCTTCTCTTCTCTTTTCTCTTCTTCTCTTCATTTCTGTTCTCCTCTTGATTATTTGATTCAACCCTATTCTTATGATCCACCAGTCTTCACCCCTTGGGATTTTCACTGCAGACATTACCCTTCTCTATACCTGCTGACACAAAAATTCCTGTACATAGTTGCAGAAAGGTGTAGGGAAGCCTTGCTGGGACCCTGGGGAATGCCCATGATTCTGCCTCTGGAGAGTGGAAGTGATCTGCAAAGCCTGATTGTAATTCGGTTTTGCCCAAAGGCCTACCTGTCTAAATTTTCTGCTTAAGGTATTTTTAGTCAGTTAACGCTAGGCCAAGACTGGGAAAGATGTGAACACTCTTCAGTGCTCTTACAGACAAGACAAGTGAAGGGTGAAAGCAGAGTATTTAGAATTAGCCTGAATTCAGTTCTTGCTCTGTCACTTACTTGCTCTTTGAAACTTGGCAGGTGACTTAACCTTCCTAAACCTTCATTTCTGTATGGACAATGTATGGAAGATCGATCTGCTGTGAAAATGAGACAAACAGGTATACATAAGGAACAGTGCCCAGTATGTAAGGTTATGTGCTCAATGAGTAGGGGTGGTTTTTATTAATGCTTCTTGGTTCCTTTTGCATCTAGTTTGTAACCAGTGTTTTGCTTGTTTGTTTCAGATATGCTGGTGCAAACTATGTGTCTTATTTGTTTTAGGTTTGGATTTGTTTCTTGAAATAAATCAGGGGTAGCATTATGAGGTCAAAGACCATGAGAGGCCCAGAGTATAGATGCTGAGCACGGGCTCTGGAAACAGACCACTGGAATCAATCCCAGCTGGCTGTGTGGTTTGGGGCAGCTTCCTTGACTGTGCTGTGATGGTATAGAATTTAAATCAATTGTTATTATTATGAATGCATAATGAATCAATACATATGGGCAGGTGATCTAAAACTATAGTAATTTGATTACTATATTAACTATCCCACCAGACTAAGAGCAGATCTTATTTCTTTGTGTCTGTTGTATTTATTAACTGTTTTTTACATTCTTTCTGTTTTATTCTCATTTTGTTGTTTCTGTTATGCAGTTATTTATTTCTACATTTCATTATATCTGTATCCTCCATAATACAATTTTCTGATGTTTTGAGAGTCAAAAATTAGCTTTAAATGGCCTCATCTGAATAACTCTAGCTGTGGCATTTTAGGAGGAGAATGGAGGGGACATTTTGGAACAGAGAGCCTTTCTTGTATTCTTTATGTAGCACCAGTGATGAGAAATTTGAGAGGGATAGCAGGAACCAGGTTCTCAGAGAACAGTAACATCAGGAAGAATCTGGGCTGAAATTATTCAAGTAATGGGATAGGTGAAGAGTGAAAGGAATGTCAGAATCAGAACACCTTTTTGTTAAGAGTCTGATCATTGTCAAGTGGATAGAATATCTTCTGGCCTCATGCAAATCATTTTCAGATAGATTTTTAAGTTTTTGTCTAGCGCACCTCTATGCTGTCATGACAGTAAGCCCTCTGTAGAGAAAACACTAAAAAAGGAAAGAAGGTATGTTTTCTTATTTGGGTGATAAAAAGGAATAAACAGATAGGGGACTAATTGCCAAGTGGCACATATTTCCACCACTGTCTCTACGCTTCTATTTTTGAGATGGATGGAAATGGATGTAAAGATTCCTCCAGAACTAGGTTGGAACCCACCTTTCCCATCCCATAAGAGCTGCAGAAATAGGCCAGCCTGTGTCTCAGGGTATTCTTAGAACAAAATGGAGGTGAAAGGAACAACTGCTGAGCTTCTGTGGAGCTCTCCTCCCACCACGCCTGGCCAGGTATTAACCGTCAGATTCAGGGTAACCTCTCACTGGTTGCCTTCTTACACAACTGAAATATCATAAGTAGAGGCACAGTTATCATTGGTGTATTTCTCTTTATTCCCAACCAAAAAAGCAAAGATCTAATTTTTACAGGCTCACAATTTTTACCTTTTCAGGAAATCAAAGTTAATAAAGCATATTATTCCCCTGGTGGACTTGAGTTACCTGGTTCTTAACAGGTTTTAAACTCAAACATACTGTCTGAATTCTAAATATGATACTATGCATTTTATTCTCCTTTCCAGGGGTGAGGTATAAAATAATGTTAGGTATGGCCGGGCGCGGTGGCTCACGCCTGTAATCCCAGCACTTTGGGAGGCCGAGGCGGGTGGATCACGAGGTCAAGAGATCGAGACCATCCTGGTCAAATTGGTGAAACCCCGTCTCTATTAAAAATACAAAAAATTAGCTGGGCACGGTGGCGCGTGCCTGTAATCCCAGCTACTCAGGAGGCTGAGGCAGGAGAATTGCCTGAACCCAGGAGGCAGAGGTTGCGGTGAGCCGAGACGGCGCCATTGCACTCCAGCCTGGGTAACAAGAGCGAAACTCCGCCTCAAAAATAATAATAATAATAATAATAATGTTAGGTATAGTGAAATTCCCAAACATAGACTCATACCTGTTTTACCTTTCCTCTTTTTCTAAGGTTGAATAATCACAAATGAAATGTAAATAAATATTCTATACAGCAAGTTGTTAGCTTTTCTCAATCTTGATTTTTCTCACCTTTACAGTGAAAATAACTAATAATGCCGACATCTACCCCCAGAGTTGTTATAAATGTTCAAGGAGAAAATGTATTCAAAATTGCTTTGTAAGTCAGGTTTGATGGTGTGTAACTGTAGTCCCAGATACTTGAGAGGCTGAGGCAGGAGGATCGTCTCAGTGTAGGAGTTTGAGGCTTCAATGATCATACCTCTATGCTCCAGCCAGGGTGACACAACAAGACTCCCTCTCTTAAAAAAAAAAAAAAAAGTGCTTTGTAAATTACTGAAGTGCTTAAAAGTACTACATAATATTTTTATTGGCTTCAAAATGTAAACCATAATTTCATTTAGTACTAACAGAAACAAGAAAAAGATAAATATTCAGAAACATAGTAAAGATGATAGCAGTCAAAGCAATTCCCTAATGTTCACTGAATATACATGATTATGTAAATTAAATACTAATTCTGCTAAGTTTTTGTTTTATGATTCATTAATTTCTTTTAAAATCTTTATTAATTCCATTCTTATATTTCCCTTACGTTCATTTTTCTCTTTTTATAATTTCTTAGGTTGAGTGTTTAAGTCATCTATTTCCATTCATTATTATTTAACAATGAAAGAACTTAAAAATACACATTTGGCTTTGAGTATGATTTTGGCCATATCTAAAATGTTTGATGTGTAGTGTTATTATCACTATTTTCTAAGTAGTCTATAATGACTGTTTGATTTTCCCTTTGATCTAAATTGCTTAGGAGAAAGTTTTGACGTTTTCAGGAAGTTGGATTCTTTTCTTTATACTTCTGTTAATAATTTCTACCTCTATATTATGGTGATCAGAAAATATTGATGGCAAGTTTTCTATTTGTTTTTCTTTTTGAAATCTATCAAGATTTTCTTTGTGACTTACTATATGATCAATTTCTTTAAATATTTCTGTGAGTACACGAAAAGGAAATATGCAATATTTACATTTGCATAGTGCAGAATTCTACATACTGTATATACTTATTATATTACAACATTAATTAAATTATTTATCTTCTTTGTCTTAAGAGTCTTCAGCTGGATAATCCATGGGTAAACTTCAGATCTGTGTGCGCCTTTTAATAGGAAGAGAGTTCATGATTATATCAGATTCTCAAAGGGATCTGTGATTCTCAAAATATTAAGAAACTCTACTTGACAGATTATCTGTCAAGGGCCGAGAAAGGAAAGTTAAACTACTGAATATAACTTAAAATTAATGTTAAAAAGTATTAGGAAACAAAGAAAAATTGTAATTTATTTTATTAATATATAGGATTCCAAGATGTTACATTGACATTTACTATTTATCCATTCTGTAAATAGTGCTAAATGGCCTTTGGTTATCTGATTTCAGGCCTTAGAATGGGACCCACAAAGATGTTGGCTTTCTGAAGGATAGCAGAAAAAGGGGCCAAGTCACTTCATCCAAATCTATCTGCTCTGGAATACATTGGTGGTATATATTCCATTTTCTCTGTGAGTTTTACAGAGTCCTTTGCAATCTCTCTTGCATTCTCCACCTTTTCTCTGAATACTTATCGTTGATGCTCTGAGAAGGCATCCCATTTTGGAAAGCTAATCATGTCCCTAAGATGAATCAGTTCAAAGTCATGTACTTCCTTAAGAAGGACAGGAAAGTAAAATGCATCAATTTCTAGAATAGGAAAGATGACCATTTTAAATTGACAGCCAAATTACAGATGTACTTGGAACAGGAAATAACAGCTGACGACGAAGTCAAGCATTTTAAAAACAGTGTACACGAAGAATGTAAAGCCCACATTAAGAAAATTGGAAAGCTCTTAAAAGAAATGGTGAGAGTTAAAAGGTGAACCCTCACCTTTTGCTTGGCAAAATCCCTTATGCCTAATCCTCTGAGGTAATAGAAATTCGCAGAATTGACTTACCCATTTAGGTACATAACACAGTGCTCCTATACGTATGGCTCACAATACTTTCTGGGCCCATGAAGATGCCTTAATTTTAATTTCTTTTAAAAGCAGAAGAAAAATAAATAATAGTGAATACATAATAATGAATCCAGCCTGGACTATACTTGCTTTATGTCATTGCAGTTGTAAAACATAATTCATAAATTTTTTTATGAAAGAAGGGACCCATGAAGGCAAAGTGCCATGAAACAATAATGGGGCCGTGGAAATAGTTATCGATTAAACATGGTGATTTGTCAGTACTTAAGCAGGTGCCTTGTGAAGGTTGTTTGATATGTGTTTATGCATGTTTTTGAGGCATTGTTTAGAACAGGTTATATTCTTTGAGCAGAATGGAAATCGAGACTGACATTCTCTTCCTGTGTATGCTTCTTTCTTTCTGTTTGCTTTACTCTGGCTCTTTTTCTCTGTAACTTCTTTTACTTGCATGTCTCTTACACATGGCCCAATAGTCCCCAGCCTTCACTCAGCATCAGATCTACCACTGATGTTCAGTCTTTGTCACTTTGAGTTCAGATTCTCATGAAAGCATCTGCTATGGCATCCTGTAGTTCAACATACATCCAATTAGCCGTAGCAAAATCTTTCCCTGTCTCCCTAATACCTTTGCAGGCCCTGACCCTTCTGCAAGATGTGGTGGGCAGCTGACTAAATGTCTTCTACTATGTAGTTTTAATAAGAGTCTATTACATACACAGCAGAATACAATAATAGGAAGAATAAACTTAGCGGCAAATAGTAGCATTATTATAATTACGTCATTATAATTTTTCATGCTCTTGATTGTCATCTTGCCACATACACAATATGTGGGAAATGGAAGCCTCTTCCCTGGGAAATGCCATTTGCAGAAACAATATGCAATTTAGGCATCTCTCAGTTAAGAGCCACATTGCATAATCAGGCAGGACTCATGCCTGGAGACTAAGCTATTCTCTGAAGATGAACAGATACCCTGCTGAGTCCTTTCTGCAGGATGAGTGACCTATCTGCGTAAGTATCCACATCACATACATTTCCTGTCACTTCAGAATTGTAATAAGCCTTCTTCATTAATGATTATGCAAAAGGAATGTTTGGGTAGATGTGACTTTAATAGTAAGTTGAACTTTATTTTATTATCACACTGTCACAAACCTTTCTACATTTGTAGAATTTTAATACTCAATAAGCACAATATTGTTTCACTGTAAAGAAACATGATGAGTGCATAGCAATTTGGTATTACTAAAACATATATTCTCTATCTCAAATAAGATGAACTCGGAGAATAAAAACCTTTATTTGCCATACTTTCAAGTTACATGTTTAATTCCTATTTAAATAGAAGAACAGTAAAGCTTCAGGTCTTCCTTGATCAGAGAAAGCTTTTGAGCAAAAAGCAAAAATTAATCAATGACAGTTGTTTCTTAAGATTTCTTCCTAATTGAGAAATAGGAAATATTCTATTATGGGTATTGTATCAGCTAGCCTTAAGTTGTGATGAACAGTATCTATTCAGCAAGTTCAAGAGAAAGGAATTTATTTAAAGGTATTGTATGGTTTATTGTACCATTGAAAGGGAAAGAATTGCCCTCTAGGCTGACCTTCTAAGCACAACTTCTAAAACCAATGTGTGGAACTGGGTCAAAGGAGTGGCTCCTTCTGCAACGGTCAAGAGACTGAAGATTCAGGAAGCTGAAATGCCAACCATCTGCTCCTGAACCACACTGCTTCTTTGCCAATGCACACCAGCAAAAGGGTATGACATCCTGTTCCTCTTCCCATGCAGCTTAATTCTAAATCAAAATGTCATTTGATTATACATGGGGCAACACTAGCTGCAAGGAATCTGAGAAGTATAGTTTTTAGCTTACTGGCCTCTGAATGCTCTTGATTGTCATCTTGCCACATACACAACATGTGGGAGTCACGATGGGGCCAAATGAGTTAGAGTATTTACCATGGATATGTAATTGGGTAATACTGAAAGCTTGAGTAACGTTAAAGGTACAAATCAGATATGATTATTTTTGGGGGTTTAATTTTTTCCCCTTTCAGGACAGGAATTATATTACATATAGTCTTTGTTTCATAAATTTCTTGTACTATTGATATATGGCTACCAAATTAATTAATAATATAATAAACACCATGGACCACCCATTACCAAAATAAAAGCTAGGCCCTTGACAATAACCTATAGCTACTAAAACATCCCCATATATCCACTACCCTAGGGAACATCACCCTGAATTTTTTTTTGGAAGGCAGAGATAAGAAAAATTACTATTTTTTTCCAGAGAAAATGGATTTATTTTTTATTTCAATAGGTTTTTGGAGAACAGGTGAATATGTCCTTTAGTTGTGATTTCTGAGATTTTGGTGCACCCATCACCCAAGCAGTGTATACTGTACCCAGTGTGTAGTCTTTTATCCCTCACTCCCCTCCCACCCTTTCCCCACAGTCCCCAAAGTTCACTGTTATCATTCTTATGCCTTTGTATCCTTATGGCTTAGCTCCCACTTATGAGTGAGAACATACAGTTCCATCCAGGTTGCTGTGAATGCCATTATTTCATTTCTTTATGTGGCTGTGTGGTATTCCATGGTACACACACACACAAACACACACACATACACACATCACAATTTCTTTATCCACTCATCAAATGATGATGGGCATTTGGGCTGGTTCCACATTTTTGCAATGGTGAATTGTGCTGCTATGAACATGTGTGTGCAAGTATATTTTTCGTATAACGACTTCTTTTCCTCTCGGTAGTTACCTAGTAGTGGTATTGCTGGATCAAATGGTAGATTTACTTTTAGTTCTTTAAAGAATCTCCATACTGTTTTCCATAGTGGTTGTACTAGTTTACATTCCCACCAGCAGGGTAAAAGTGTTCCCTTTCACCATATCCACACTAACATGTATAATTTTTTATTTTTTTTTATTATGGCCATTCTTGCAGGAGTAAGGTGGTATGACATTGTAGTTTTGATTTGCATTTCCCTGATCATTAGTGATGTTGAGCATTTTTTCATGTTTGTTGGCCATTTGTATATCTTCTTTTGAGAATTGTCTATTCATGTCCTTAGCCCATTTTTTGATAGGATTGTTTGTTTTTTATTTTTTTCTTGCTGATTTGTTTGAGTACCTTATAGATTCTGGATATTAGTCTTTTTTTCAGATCTATAGATTGGAAAAATTTTCTCTCACTCTGTGGGTTGTCTCTTTACTACGCTGATTGTTTGTTTTGCTGTGTGCAAAAGTTTTGGTTTAATCAAGTCCCATCTATCTTTGTTTTTGTTGCATTTGCTTTTGGGTTCTTGGTCATGAAGTCTTTGCCTATGCCACTGTCTAAAAAGGTTTTTCCAAAGTTATCTTCTAGAATGTTTATGGTTTCAGGTCTTAGATTTAAGTCCTTGATCTATCTTGAGTTAATTTTTGTATAAAGTGAGAGATGAGGATCCAGTTTTATTCCTTCCATGTGGCTTACCAATTATTCCAGCACCATTTGTTGAAGAGGGTGTCCTTTCCCCACTTCGTTTTCATTTGCTTTGTTGAAGATCAGTTGGCTCTAAGTATTTGGCTTTATTTCTGTATTCTGTATTGTGTTCGTTGATCTATGTGCCTGTTTTTATACCAGTACCATGCTGTTGTGGTGACTATAGTCTTACAGTGTAGGTTGAAGTTGGGTAATGTGATGCCTCCAGATTTATTCTTTTTTCTTAGCCTTGTTTTGGCTATGTAGGCTCTTTTTTGGTTCCATATAAATTTTAGGATTGTTTTTTCCAGTTCTGTGGAGAATGATGGTATCACCCTGAATTTCATGTTTTATTGCATCTCTAAGTATTCTTACAGACTATTTATTTTAGTTATATCTCTACCATCATAAAGATGAAATAATAGTGTATACTCTTTTGGTTCTTACCTTTTCACTGAATATTATAATGCTAGATTCATCCATGTTTTTTGCATTTCATTGTAGTTTCATTCAGTCCAACTGCTATGTTCTGTTGCTGAATATGACAATGTTCTTTTATATAAATATTCATCTATTTTTCTCTTAATGCCTGTACTGCTTCAAAGTTTCAATATGTGAACAGCGCCACTATATGAATATTCTTTCATATTGTCAACCTAAATAACAAACAGGAAGAGGCTCTCTAAAAGAAAATATATTTGTTTGGGAGTACAGTATTCCAATAAGAATATGTATGCCATAGTAAACAATGTATATATTCAGAGAGGTAAAAGAATACAAAGTTTTTTAAAGGAAAAAAATGAGGAATATTATATAATTGTTTTGAGATGATAATCCTTAATTGTAAAGATTAATAACAAGGGTGACATCAGTCCAAAGCTGAATAAACTGTTGCTGGGCAGGTGTCCTTGCAGAAGTATTTTTGGTCTAAGATTGCAATGGCCTTTGTGCAATGTTGTAGTTTTTGTGGTGTCTTTTTCATTATGAGGTATACAATCATGAGAATCTTCTCTTCATGGCCTTCTCTGGCTGTATGTGTTAGAGTCTTTTTTAACATTAGTGACTACATTTTGATTCTGATAACTTTCACAATATATGTTAGAGTTGTAAAGGAGTGTTTACCAAAGATAAAATTGCTGTGTAATGGGAATTTTGTAGTTAGGATCAGAGTTCTGCACATTTAAGATACTCAAAAATACGTAATTTTTAGCCAAGTCAGGTTTAAATGTAGTAAACTAACATAATAATTAAAAAACATAAAATAGAACAGCCATACTAATTTACATTCCCAACAACAGTATATGAGCATTCTCCTTTCTCCACATCCTTGCCAGCATTTTTGGTCTTTGTGGTAATAGCTTTTTAAACTGTATCTCACTATGGTTTTGATTT